CTGAAATGGCGGCCTTGGACGCAAAAAATCTCTAATAAACGAATTTTGATGGTTTTTGCCATTTGAGGAGGAGGTTTCAACCCTATTGGTCCACTGATGGTCACGTGATCATTATTTTCAATGGCTATTGAATTATGAAAAAATTGGAAAGTCGTGTTTTACAATATTTCGTGTACTGTGAACCGTAATAAACTATCAAAATTTTCTACTAATTACTTTTTATTTGTGTAGTTGATGGACAAAGTTTACTTAGGAGTATTTTATTATCACTCAAAAACTTGAGAATTAATGTGGGAACTAATCCAAGTAATAATGAAATTATTGTTTTATATTTTGCTGATTTTCCCGGAGAAATATTTCATATATTTTTTTAACAAACAAAAACAAACATTTTCTTAAAACAATCTGCCAAAAGGGTGAGAAATAAAACTTAATTTTTGAATAAAATAATTACATGACAAAACTACCCTCGTATAGTAATCACTAATCATTCATAAAAAATATATTTGTACTACGGTATTCTGTCAACAAGATCTTAAAAATGCATTAATTTGTATTATTTCACTTTTCTTTGAACAAATTATTCTACTCTTTTGCAAATTCACGCTGTATAAATTAAAAAATGAACAATTAATTCTCTATTATAAAAAACAAAACTGAAAATTTTAATAGATAAAAACTGTAACAGAAAGAACCCAAGTTACCATATTTTTATTTTACCTCTACGCGTGTTTCGTCACTTAAATTTGCATCATCAGGACGGTAATAAAATAAGTCATCGTCCTGATAATATTTTCTCTACAACCATCAATTTTTGACTAGTACAATACTAATATCTTTTTTATTTGAATAGAAAATACAAATGTCAATAAAAAAAATTAAAAATGATTTTTGTAGTTGAAAATTTAATCAATTTTTACGATTTAAAATTTAATAAACTAAATAAGCAATTCATTTTATAAAAAAATTTTGAATTTCTGCATTAAAAAAATGCAGGTCTCGATACGATACTCTAATCCAATTACGGCATGATTAATATTCCTGGCTTATAAATAAAAGAAAAAATGAATACAAAATTGGAAAATTATTTTTTCACTAGAAAAAATCAAATACGATGAACTCCAAGTACATTAACTAAACAGGTATATTGTTTACCCCAATTTTTTAGCATACTTTATAAAAAGTGGATTCCATTAATGGAATATTATGTTCTTAGAAATCCTCTGCCCAATTCTATGGCGCCACACTATAAACATTTTATTCATAAAAGGAAAAATTGTAAAGATTTTATAATCATTTTACTATTTTTTTGCTTAATTTTAGAAAATACTTAACGAATTTCTCATCAAACTAGTCTGTGATTTTGTTGGCGTTCAGTTTCATAAATAATACTTTTCTAATTTAACAAAATTTAGATAAACACAAACCCCATGCAAAAAAATTTTCCTCATCTAAAATTCAACCGTTTTCATTTTAGAGTAAGATTAATAACAAAAAAAATATTTGCATAGAGCAATAGGATTCCGACTTCAGGGCTTGATTTTAATTGATTTTTGTAATATTGTCACAAAAAAAATGAAAAAAAAACAAAGAAATCTGTTAGATTCGCTACTCTCACACATACATTAGTTTTAGAAACCTTTAATTAGCAAAATTTATTAATGTATTAATTAACAAATAAATCGTAAAAAAATATTTTATTTTATTAAATAATATACAGAATAAACCGACAGAATTTTATCACAGCTTCCCAAGGTTAAATGGAGACGATTCGTACCCTTTTTATGTTTGTCTTTTAGGGGTAGAACCCAAAAAATTTAAAAATGATTTTTGTAGTTAAAGAAAAGCTTTGAAAATTTAATAAATTTTTACAATTTAAAATTTAATAAACTAAATAAGAAATTAATTTTATTAAATTTTTGAATTTCTTTCCATTAAAAAAATGCAGGTCTCGATACGATACTCCAATCCAATTACGGTATGATTAATATTCCTGGCTTATTAGTTGTTACTTAATTTATCCAATTTAAAGTATTTTTCTTTTATAATACGGCTTCTCATTGAAAGCCAAGTCTAGACCCTGTCGAATTCCTCGCCGGCTGTATTGTCAAGAAAGCACGCTGCTGCAGTCACTCAATTGACCCCCGACCTCGCTGGCCCTTGGCCCGAACTAACTCTGATACATTTACAAAACTCGAATATAAACCAAAACCACAAGCTGGAAACTCCGGAAATCTCATTCGCAGCTTCCATGTGTGATTCCCACTAACCGGAAACCCGCCAAACGGCCGTCATTAAACGCATTTTTCAAACAGGTGCTCATTGACCGAATCAATAATTCAGGACCTTAGGCAAAACAACAAATAGCACAATGACAAATGGTGTTTTTTCACTTCTTGTAATAAACTATACTTAATAAGTAATTTATTTTGTTGGCGGAAATTGCGATATCATTTCGCGTGTCATCATTTTTGATGCCTTGGATGACCTCCGAGGCCGCTGTTTTGCAGAATGTGCAAAATGCACTTGACATTTATTGCAAAATAGTAATAATTTTCACCAAAGGTAAAGTATTTCTATAGAGAAATTGATAGAATATTAAGTAAAATTTAAATTTTGATGCACTACATTGTCTCAATGGTGACTTCACTTTTAAGCCAATCAAAATTGAAAAAGCAAAAGTCATCGTAGCTCAGTAGTCGAGTGACTTTGCCATTATTCTAACGGATCTAATTTCTTTACACGTTCCAAATTCGCATCAGTCATTGTTTTCCCACCTTAGTTCGGTTGCAAAGATTGCTATAATTGCGTGTATCCTTTGCAAAAGAAAAACAGTTAAAAGGAAATATTCATAATACTAGTTATAAATATGTCATCAACAGTTTTCACATACATATTTAACGATTCACGGTTAATAAAGAACAATAAGAGGTGGAAAATCGTACAAATAGCAATCAAACAAATTTTACAAATATCTTTTTTTTTGCAAATTAAGACAAAATAACATTATTTCGCAATTACATCGTTGACACAGAAATTTGTGTCGAATAATTTATTAACAAATTAAATTCTAAAATGTCACTTTTTCCAAAACGAAATACATAACAAACTGCTGGATTCTCAAAAAAAAATAAGGTGACTAAACGTTTTTCCTGATTTTACCAAAACAGTAAGCCACTTTTTTTCTTAAACTCTTGAACACCCTATATATTTTTATTTAAAATTGATGTAATTAAAAAAACACAAACTCAATGTTTAAAACAGAAAAAAGCAGTATTTTATAAATGTGTTTTATTTTTCACCTGTTTTATATTTCAGGGTATCACAGTTTTCAGGAACATTTTTTTTAACAAAAATAGGGGTCTAATTGTCTTGTAAGAAATACCAGACATTATCAAGACTATCAGTTGTTAATTAGGTAATTAAAAACATGTGCAAATTGTGTTAAATCGTCCTCAAATTTTTAGATACAAAATCATAAAAAAATTTTACTTAAAAAATAATTTTTCTAAAGCCGAAAATAGCGATTTAGCAAAAGTTTAATACCCGATAGTGATACCAAATCCTGCCTGAGTACCTAGGATACAATATTTTATCGAGTGAACAATAAAAAATACATAAAAACACAAATGATTTTAAATTTTCTGAAAAATTTCTGGCAAAAAATAGACAATAAAATTTAAAGCATCAGTAATCTCAAAAGAAAACGTTCATTCACTAGTGAATAAAAGTAAAAACTGTCCTCAGAAAAAAAATATAATTATGAATTGTAAATAAAAGAAAAAATGAATACAAAATTGGAAAATTATTTTTCCACTAGAAAAAATCAAATTCGATGAACTCCAAATATATTAATTAAACATGTATATTGTTTACTCCAATTTTTTGGCATAAAAAGTGGATTCCATTAATAGAATATTATGTTCTTGGAACTCCTCTGCCCAATTCCATGGCGCCACACTATAAACATTTTATTCATAAAAGGAAAAATTGTGAAGATTTTATAATCATTTTACTATTTTTTTGTTTAATTTTAGAAAATATTTAACGAATTTCTGACTGATTTTGTTGGCGTTCAGTTTCATAAATAATAATTTTCTAATTTAACAAAATTTAGATAAACACAAACCCCAAGCAAAAAAAAATTCCTCATCACAAAATCAACCGTTTTCACTTTTAGAGTAAGATTAATAACAAAAAAATTATTTGGATATAGCAATAGGATTCAGATTTCAGGGCTTGATTTTAATTGATTTTTGTAATATTGTCACAAAAAAAATAAAAATGAAAAAAAAAACAAAGAAATCTGTTAGATTCGCTACTCTCACACACACGTTAGTTTTAAAAACCTTTAATTAGCAAAATTTATTAATGTATTAACAAATAAATCATAAAAAAAAATTTTATTTTATTAAATAATATACAGGGTGGTTTTTAAAAAAAATTATCACAGCTTCCCAAGGATAAATGAAGACGATTTGTACCCTTTTTATGTTTATGTCTTTTAGGGGTAAAACCACTTGATCAATTTCTAATCAGTGTTGAAATTATGTTAGCAACAATGAATAACGTGGACAGTAGTATTAAATTTGTCAATTTTAATATTATAACAAAAAATCTCTTGAATGACCATTTATTGAATTTGATATTCAATGCTACCAACTTAATTTCAAAGGCACAGCCACTTTGATCATCAAAACGGAAATATTGTTTCTAATTGGAGTAATTAAACCTAGAAACCGGCCCAATTTTGAAGCTCTCAAAATTTCACCCTCCACTTGACCTGTATCCCAAATTTTAGGACAAAGAATGATGGATTGACGTTTAGAAAAAAGTGACACTTGAAAGAATCCAGAAGGCCAGTTGGAATGCGGCCTTCCTTTTAAACGGTCCCAAGTGGTGGTGAGACACTTTGTAAGCGTTTTCCAAAGCAAATATCACACAGTAATAATTAATGTCAACGATAGTTTATCTGAGATAAGAATCTGAGACGCACTCACCTCTAACTCCCATGTCCGTGTTGCACCCTCCGAAGGCGGCCACCGCCAGGATAATCCCCAGGAGCAAAATATCCATTTTTCGAATCACAGAACCCAAGTCAAAAAATTCATCACAGCATCACGACACACTTAAGTCATCATCCGAGTGTCATGGGAAAAACAACAAAATAAGTACGACAACCTGTTGCACACAACGCAGAAGCAACAACAACACCACTTCTCGACGACTCGTAACCGAATGACAATTGAACGTCGCGCTTCACGAACCAGGAGCGATGGGAGTCGAAGACAGCCGAAGTGTCACAGGTAGATTAGTGACCTTGTGATCAACAGGTAAGTAGAGAGAGATGGCAGTATTGTGCTTCTTGCGTAGAAGAATGTTGATCTGTATTATTGTTGGGAAAAGATGAAAAAGCCATGGTATAGTCGACCAATGGGTTGGCGGAGTTGGGAGTCATGGGAGAGGGTAGTGAGTGCGCTGGGTAGATGGGTTTACGTAATGCGGTAGCGCGTCGTCTATCAGGTTTGAGAATTTTTAATTGCGGTGGTGTTGGAGGGGTTGCAATTTGATGGGTGGATCAATGAACTCATGAATGAGTTGGTCAATCTGGAACTGGAAATTTATTAGCGCAATTAGCGGTTGTTGGAGTTTTTTGAATGGAAAACGCGTTGGTTGTGCGTCAAGTGAGAGATAATTTATTGCCACATTGACGACTTCACATTATGACTCTATGATCTCCTGAAATAAGCGAAGGTTTTGCCCCAAAAGTTGGATAAAACCTGGCCGTACCCAAGGGGGGGGGGGGGGGGGTTAGGGGGTTCAAACCCCCCCCGAAATGCTGAGCACTTTGTTATGTGTTAAAAATTTAGTTTTTTTGTTATTTCAATGAGTTGATTTTAAATTTTTGTGAATTAATTTTTCATGTGTTAATTATACAGTGTTTCATTTTTATTGTTAGGTACAAATTTAAATAGTTAATAGAATATTAAATTTTAAGATAAAAGTGTTTTGAAAAATGCTATGAAAAAGAGCTACACCCCCTAAAAAAGATACGTTTTTTAAAGGGTTTTTCCTAATATTTCAGAATAGATAAAATTACAAAATTTGGTACCTTTATATGTACACCCAAACAAATGCCAAATAACAAAATTTTTAATCAGGGGCGTCCTAAACGGTAAAACAAATTTAATTTTTAATTTTTATGCTGTTTATGGTCTGTAACATAAATTTTTAAACCGATTTTTACAAAAAATCCGTAAATTGTATCGGAAAAACACAAAAGGCCTTTTTTATGAAAAACTATGAAATTTTGTTGCTGAAAGTGGCAAGAAACCACAGGCAAAATAGTTAGAGTAAATTTTTACCCTAATCCCATCTAGTTTAGGAAGCACCTAATTAAAAAAAATTACATTTTATTTTTGTACTTGTTTAGGTGTATAAAAGTTATCATCTGTAGCAAATTTTGAAATTTTTTTCTAAAATGATTTCGGAAATATTGAAAAATAAACTATTAAAAAACGCACCCCTTGCGTAGCATTTTCGATATATGTTCATAAAAAAATTTTGTTTTAAAAATGAATATTCATCTCCTGTTTAAATTTGTAACAATAAAAAGTATTAAAAATTTATTTTATTTTTTGTTACTTTTGTAAGTTAATTTGAATTTTTTTATATTTAATTAGGACCTCTTATTTTAATTTAAAATAAAAACGTGTACTTAGAGGTTTTTGATTTTTAATCCGCCTTCTTTCATTTCGTTTTCATGGGCCAACAAGAAACCCCCCCCGAAATAAAATCCTGGTTACGGCCCTGGATAAAACAACGCAATTCAGAGCAACATTTCTCTTGCTGTTCGAATAATGAAAAACGAGTGATTTATTTTGAAGATTTGTCAATTTAATTCGCTGAAACGGAAATAGTTGAAAAATTTAAATTATCAATAAATAAAGATGCAAACATTTTCGACTACATTTGATCCTTCGTGAGACAAAATATCAGAAAACAATAAAGAAAACTAAAGATTTCTTTAGTAGTTTCTTAGTTTCTTTCTTTCGTCTATTTTTATTATATTTTTTAACCGAAAATTAAAAATTTTAAAACTACCCTTCGAGCAAAATTCCAGAGTAAACAAAATTGAGAAAATGCAACAAATTATACACAAAAAAACTGTCTTTTCCCTAAACTGAAAAACCAATTAGGTACATGGCGGCGGATATTTTCCTAAAAATAGCCTAAAAACTGCTGATTATTTTGAGGATAGTAAATCGAGATACAGAGTGAATATAAAGTATGGAACCAAGCGTTTTTTTTTTAAATCATTTGCCTCCAGAAAATAATAATTAACATAAATTAAAGTAATATAAAAATGTGATCTTATTTTGAGAACGAAATTTTGTTTTGTGTTTGAATTATGCAATTTTTTTTGTCAAAATTGCAATTATGTAAAAAAAATGTAAAATCTAAATATAAAGTAGATAGTCGTAATAACCTTCATCAGAAAAATGGTTTTATAGTGGGTTGCCATTTAAAAAAATAAAAAAAATTGTGGAACTCAAAAACAAAAGAAAACTTTTGAAAAATTTTGTTTTTGATAAAACATCTCATTTTTACAGTACTTTATCATTCACTAATTAGTTTTTGTAAAGAATAAATAGTTTAAGCTAAAAACGTTTGCTTTCATACTTTTTATTCACCTGGTATGCATTTGCTTTGAAGGATTTTTTCATTACAGAAATAAGTAATACAAAGGGTTTAGGTCTATCTGACTAATAATATGAATCCCGAAAGTGTAATGATATTCCTCCCGAGGTTTGTATGCTATTTTATTCACAATTACTTCTTGTTTCAATAATAAAATATCTGTTTCTCTAACAAACTTAATGCATTGACGTAGTTGCTGTGCAAATAAATTGCGTTTGTGACATTTGATGAAATTGTAACGTTGGTGATTCCTCATAAATTACTTACTAACTAAGGGATGAAATGACGTATTTCCCGACCTTTAAACGAATCAAGGAAATATAAAGTGTCGAATGATTGTGAATAAAATCACGATACATTTACAAAATAAAATGTTATTTGTATCGTTCTCTCTTCTTTCTAATTTCAATTAGATAAAAACCTCTCATGGCAAAAATTAACTCAAGTGAGTTTCTTAAAAACTTCAAACATAGATTCCACTACATTCTGATAATGAACAAAAAATGTTCGTGTTCTAATTAATATAGGTATTTCTATTTTCTAACAAAAATAAATAAGTAATTATTTAAAAGTTTTATTGTTTAGAAAATTTTCAACAGTAATATTAATATTACGAGAGTAATAAATTATAAATAATTTGACATAACTTTTGGAAAACGTGTTGCCGGTAATTGCCACAAAGGCAGTACAAATATTGAAATAGTATACTACGATCGAAAGGGGAATTATTTCATTTCTCGAGGACTCGAGGTTATATAACCGAGAAACGCAGATTCGAGCTTAGAAAGAGCCTGAGAGGATGTAATGATATTACCAGGGCTCAGAATTTTTTCTCACTCTCTTGTGATTCGAGTATTATCAAATATTTTTTTAGATGTTAACGTGATGGAAATGTATTTTTCCACTTGTAATGGCACTACACAAGGAAAAATTTACTTTTCTCAAAGGTTTTGAATAAAATTTGTACTGATGAATTTTACACATCCACAATGTATTACTGGTTGCCGCTTCGAAAAAAAAACTCACTCACTGATTAACTATTATAGCACAAAATAATTAATGCTTTTTACAACTTTTTATCGAATTATGAACCAATAAATTTATACTTTTGTCAGAAAAAGGCTGAGTATGAACTTATAGTCGGGTAAAAATGCAAAACATTGTGTTGTTTAAATGCAAATTCTCCGAATAAATGTCATTTGTGGAACATTAAATTTTCAAACAAAGAACAAAAATTCTGTTTCCTGACCTTGCGTGACCTCTTTTCCTCCCGTAACAAACAATGAGTAAATAAAACCTCAAGTAACGTTTTAAACATTTTATTAAAATTAAATAGTGCTTAACTTAAACCATTAACAAAGTGAGGCACAATACGATTATTCATCACATTTCAAAACATAAAACTACATCGCAACAATATAAAAACCGAACAGCATCCAACGACACCGATCTTATCTTAGATAGCCTTAGGAAATGATAAAACTGCATGTCTCGTGAGGGTTGTCCTTAAAATTCATTTAATAGTAGGCTTCCTATCAACAAGTAAAGCTTAACCTACAGCTATTTTTCTTAAATATTCAACTAATCACAACAGAGAAATCAAAAAAACACTGTTGTTAGGTCCTAGTTTAAGCGCACCTAGTCGATATGGCGTGATAGAAGAATTTCGTTAGGACCGAAAAGGGCCTTAAATAACTCAATCCGGGCCTGGTCAACTATCTAGATATGTGCTTGAGAAGGGCAGTGGCCAACGAAACGTCTGTATTGAAATTTATCACAACTCACGCCATCTATAATCGAAATTTAAGCTCATTTTTGACAATACCGACCGTCGCCTACTTAATAAATATCTCTCTTAAAAAGTCTAATTTAGCGCCTAGTTTTGAAAACATCACATGCTGAATGCGTCCCGCTTGATATACAGGGGGATTCCCCGAAGCGTCCGCCATCTTCCCGCGCCGACAAATCCCCCAATAAATTCCAATACAGCTCAAAATAAGTGTGTGTATATGTGTGTGTGATTGTGTGAGCAGTGGCGGCGGTTATTATTATTGTTTTTAGTTAATTTAACAGACGACAGCCGATATTGGGTTTTCGGTGATATGGATGACATTCATTGGCCATTGTCCGCCATTAGGCATTTTCGATTTGAGCAGTTCCTCCAACGACGTTTTGCGGAATAGAGCCATTTTTGTGGGGGATAGAGGCGCCACTGGAAACACAAAACATCAAACTGTCGAACGTGGCGACATCTCCAGGCCAATGAAAAACCATCAGAAATGTCACTAGTGCAACCTTCTCATATCACTGTAGTGTGTGTTTGTGTAAAGTGCGAAAATAAGAAAATACAAGCCGACACATGCACCAAGCGAAAATTAATCACAAAAAAACAACTCCCATAATATACCTACAGGTGGTTCAATTTTTCGGAATAAATAAAATTGGGCCCAATTTATTTTTAAAATTTAGGTTAAATAACGGTACAGGACCAAAAAAGGGCACAATTTTATTTTTCGGCGCCATTTTAAATATACAGAGAGACTAAAACATCAGACACACGACTCACAATACACGACAGATGAAGATCATGCCACTGCCACCTATGAAACTACAAAAAAATATAACTCGCATCATCATCAAGACAACGTTGGTTAGTTCCGTGTAGGAGCGACTTATACAGGATGTCCTAATCTAGCCGTACGAAAAAGTATCTTGGACTTGTGATATGTCCTGATTCTACTCCTTTGTACGGTTACTAATTGGGACAGCCTGTATATGATGCTTGTATAACTTGTCTATTTACACAGTGTTCTCGTGTCAATCGCAACTTACATGTCTCAATTTTGTGGATTTTTCGGGGCCGCACTGTAACGACAGGCCAGGCTTTAAAAAGATTTACCTTCTATTGACACGCTGCTACTGGCCCGTCGGCGCACTTGCACGGCTAAAACAACACGACATAGCGATGATAAGAGTCAAATTAGGACAAAAAATCAAACAAAATGGCGCCCCCACGACTGCCAACAAAATAAACAACACACAACTGATTAATTTATTGAATATTGAAATAAATAATACACAAAGGGGTGAGAAAAAGCACAACACAAATTTGTAATACTGAGGATTAGCAAGGCGCGGGGCACTTGAGATGTATTGCTGAAAAGAAAAATCAAAAAATTAAAAATAAAAAAACAACGGCTTGCTAGATGAATAATGGTGTTCGTCTAGGACGATCTAAAAATAAATTGTACGGTCTACGACACAATGAATGACAGTACGGTCTCGGACAAATTTAACGCTTTCTTGCTAAGTAAACTTTATTCAATTTTTCGGTACAACGCCAATAAGCCAACTCCAATATTGTCATAAGCACTCAAGCGCCATTAAAAATGTACAAATACGAACACATAAAAAATTCCTGATCAAAGTGTCCCTGATCAAGTGGCCTAAAAATTTAGAACTTTTAAATAAATATCCAATTCTTTCTTTGAAACTACGACGCCGCACCGTTTTTCAAGGATGCCAACCAACTTAATTTCACAGCCACTTTGATCAGGATAGTTACAATTTAAAATTTGAAAAACGGTTAATATTTCTCCAAGACCGGCTCGATTTTCGGACATTGCTTCACTGATTTAGCTGATATCCCAATGAAATATGAACACAGATTATTTTGAACAATACATACCATTCGCGCATATCCAACCAACGCAAACATTGTAAAATAAAACAAACTCAGTGTATGTTCGTGTTTTCATTTTCCTAATCTAGATTTGAGGGGGGACACAGAACAATCGTCGACACAATGACGGTTTAAGGAGGGGGGAGGTGGTTTGACCACCTCCCACCTGTAAACATTAATCTACTTGGCAAAGCGGTGTCTAGTGGCAAGCCTGAGCCTTATTTTTTAGTTTTGATTTTTTTTAAAAAGTCCGTTTTCGAGGTTATATTTGACGGGTCGAGCGGAAGATGTCGTCGGATTTTCACTTACCGTAGCCTTCGCCTTGAAGGAATAATCGGAAAGCTTCGGCCACTTTGCCGGGTTGTTCTTCGAGGACCATGCCACAGTCTGAAATCTACATAAAATGTGCTTTATTTTATTATTAATCTCCCAAAACATAAATTTTGATGATTAATATTCGGCATAATAGGCTATTACAGGGCCACGCTTTCAAGTTTAATGATTTTTGCGAAAAATCGAATTTTCTATTTATAGCTAAACAGAAAGGAGTTCGCTATTAGGTTCTTGTTAGTAACTAAAGACAACCTAATGGCGGTCAAGTGACAAAAATTAAGGCAAAAAAATGTAAAAAAAATCAAACCAAAATAAAAAAATATTCTTCCGTTTTAAAAAACTTAACCGAAGCCACTTAAATTACATTACTTATTTTTTTATTTTTTTTTTTACTTCTGTATAATTTGTTGTACAGGGTGCTGCATTTTGGATGTCCGAATAGGGAATCTCCGAAACTAAGAGGTTTAGCCAAAAACGAGTAATACATTCTGGGGCTCATTTTTTGAGAAAATAATATTGGTTAAAACCGCATCCCCCTATCGTCTTTTGTTTTCGACTTATAGACAAAAATTGACATTCTAACGAAATCTAAAAAAATTTATATCTTCGTTATTATAGAAGACACATATTTGAAATAAAGACATTAGGCACTTTTTTACGTAGAATTTAATAATGTAGTTAACAATTTTTTTCAGTTGTTTGTTTAGCCGTAATAAAATAAACTTGTATTTTTTTAAATGGGAATCATAGTAGGCTATGTCATTTTTAAAAAGCTTGTTTTTTTCTTATCTAAAAAATATATATTTGTTACAAATTATTAAAATACATTTTTAGCAAAAAATTATCTTTGATTTTTGTTCGCAGTTGGCCATATCTTCAACTAAAAGGATTTGAACTATATTATACTCAACCAGTGTCACTAATGAAAGAGTTTTCTAAGTACTAAGTAATGAAAAAGATGCAAAATAAATTGTAAATCAACTTATTGGCGACTAACAACATTTCTTTGTTTTTAAACAAGCTAACATTACCATTGCAACTTCTAGTGATACATAGAGTGTTGTAAAAAAAGCCGCTTTAATTCTTCAATAAAATATATTTTATGACACAAAAATGACGATATGGCTATTCAAATACCCAAATTCCGTCTATGTGAAACGTTATCCTACCTCCATTAGATCATCAAAAAAATGTTTTTTCTAATTGTGTTGACTGTTGACACATTTGTTTTTCCTATTTTTGGATTTTTTAAAAATATGTAATAATTTTGTTCTGAGACGCTCGGATATTTGTTCAATGCTTCTACCGTATCGTATTTTTTAAATCTTTATAATTTTATCTATTTTTTCATCTATTTTACAGTTCACAAAACTCTTATTGATTATTATTTACACATTTGGAGTGAAATAGTTTTTCCATGGCCAACTATTATCACACTAAATATGTATTTCACTTTTTAAGTATAGTTATAAAAAAATATTTTGTTACAAATATATATTTTTCAGATCAGAAAAAAATAAGCTTTTCAAAATTGCCATAGCCGTCTATTATTTCCATTTAAAAAAATACAAGTTTATCTTATTACGGCTAAACTAATAACTGAAAAAAATTGTTAACTACATTATTAAATTCCTCGTAAAAAAGTGCCTGTATAATGTCTTTATTTCAAATCCGTATCTTCTATAATAATGAAGATATGAATTTTTTTAGATTTCGCCAAAATGTCAACTTTTGTCTGCAAGTCTAAAACAAAAGACGATAGCGGAATGCGGTTTTAACCAATATTATTTTCTCAAAAAATGAACCCCAGAATGTATCACTCGTTTTTGGCTAAACCTCTCGGAGATTCCCTATTCGGACATCCAAAATGCAGCACCCTGTACTTATTATCGATAAATATACCAGGTGTGGTAAAACTATGAAACGCATAAACTAACTTTTTAGAAGAAGTAAATTACATACTATAAAAATGTCACAAATTTTGAAAAATATTTTTTATCGAAATTACCTTTGTTTCTCAAGTTGTATTACATATTTTATTTTACTTTTAATAGCAGCCAATCTTGGAATAAAGTCGTTCATTTTATAAATAGAACTGTTACAAACTAATTTTAGACTAATTTTAAAAATAGTTAATTAACAAATAATACTACATAAGAAAATGGGAGTACAATAAAAATAATTTCTCGTCCCCAATCTGCTATTAAAAAGTATTTTTTTCTTTCCAATCTTCGAAAATAAATGCTGTATGGTGTCAATTCTGTATAATTCGTTGTTTTTTTCCTTGATTAAGAGTTATACCGGGTGTGGTAAAACTTTGAAATCACGCGTTTTGTGACTAAACTATTAACTTTTTGGAAAAACTAATTAACGGGGAATAAACTACTATAAAAATGTAACAAATTTTGAAGAATGACTTTTTTGCGAAATTTCCACTGGTTCTCGAATTGCACAACAAATTTAATTTTTTTAAATGGCAACCTACGTTGAAAATTTTTTGGGAGGCAAGTATTTTCTTTCAGAATTTCAGCAATCTAAACAGAAATCTTTGAAACACAAATTTTCCGGGTGAGAAATTATTATATCATGATACGAGTCATTTCTTCTTATTACCTTCATCCACGACGAATTGGTGGGATCCAACCGGCCATTAAAAGTGACAGTATCATCAACATGAGGACTTAACGAGCCCGTAATATTCATAACAGGCATCTTCAAAGTATTCGACTCTTTCCGCTTCGTCGGATCCAACTCCCTCTGTATACTCAAATCCGTACGACGCACATAACTATCAATAAACAACGCTAAATTCGTCGGATTGACATTGCGTTCGAAGTAGCTCTTGTAGACTTGCACTAAATCATGATTCCTCTCTTCTGTATTCTAAAACAACGAAACTAGATTTATTGACACAAAACCAAACACTAACCCGTCCAAAATGATGCCACATCAAGTAATCCAAAACCCCTTGAGTCATCCCCTTGGACCTCAAATGTCGAGCGTTCAATTTCTGGTAACCCCATTCGATCCAACCGGCTTGAGTGCTCACACAGTTGATGAGACACAAAGCGGTCACTTGATTGGGGTTATTGAGGGCGAAACGTGCCAAAATATTGGCACCAGCGCCTACCCCGAAACCAATGAACTGTTTCAAACCAAAGTGAGAGAGGACGTAACCCAATTGCCCGGCGAGCTCGTCCATCGTTGGGTAGATATAGCTGAAAAATTGAAATCAGAGTTGAAAAAATGAAAGATGAGGGAAGGTTACTCTTCAGGTAGTGTGGCAGAACCTTCTTCTTGACCGGGAGCGTTGACGTGGTACACACAGAAGTTTTCCAGTAATGCACGCATGTCGATGTAGTTGAAGAAGGCTTGGAAACTAGATACATCTGAAAAAAATATACAGGTGGAAGAAAGTTTTGACAACAGATAAAGTTTATAATTTTTTTTAACATAAATTGTAACATTTTTAATAACTATTTTTATACATTTATAAAATGCATAAACATATCTTTCTAAAACAATAAATAAAAAACCGTTTTTATTTAGGAAAACAATTATTGGTATCATAATCTCAAAAGTTTAAACAATTAATTAAAATATTTTTTTTTTA